ATCTTAAGTCTAACATGGTGCTCACATATGCATACTGACAATCCATAGAAATAGTGCTTCTATACAAGAAAAAGGAAACTCTTTGTTTCAATAAAGAAAGAAATGCTCGATGCCATAAGGAAACTAGATTGTCTACATTAGAATTAAAGTATTAAATTATGTATTATATTACCTACTATTGGAATTTAACTACTGACTACATTTGAGTATTGTCCAGTGGAGCCGAACCAACATGCTGCCAAGCATTCTTATCTTCAAGATAATCTGTCAGTGTGTAGTAAGCTTGATTACATAATTCGCGCTTAATATATGTTTTAAATTTACTTTCATTGAGATCTAGTATGCTATTTGGTATTTTATTATAGCATTTAATACCTAACCCCATAAAGGATTTCTGTACTTTGGACAGTCTGAATTGCGGTATAGCTAACTTATTTTTGCCTCTAGTATTAAAATTGTGTCTATCGCTTCTTTTTTCAAACAATTGCCTATTTTTCCTTACATACATTATATTTTCATATATATATTGACAGGGCACCGTTAAAATATTTATCGTTTTAAACAATTCTCTCAACGATTCGCAACGGCGTAAGTTATATATTGCTCGGATAGCCCGCTTTTGCAGAATAAATATTGATTCTATTTCTGCAGCTCGACCCCACAACAAAATGCCGTACGACATAATGCTGTGGAAATAACTAAAATAGACAAGCCTAGCTGTATCTACGTTCGTGAGCTGTCTAATCTGTCTAACTGCAAAAGCAGCTGAGCTCAATCTCCCCGAAAGCGCCCTTATATGCGGACCCCATTGTAGTCTATTGTCTAACGTAATGCCTAAAAATACTATCTCGTCGACAAATTCTAACTTTTGACCGTTCAAAACAATATCACAATCGTTACTACGCACGTTTGGTAAACTGAATTTAATACGCCCGACGGGATCTTTGCTTGGGGAGGCTCGTTACTTGAGATCTCCCCGCTCTCCCCCGAATCCATGTGGCGATCCCTTTTTGCGGGTCTCACTGCTGCCGCCGCCGCCTTCGAGCTCGAGCTCGCGCCCGACGGACTGCCGTTCGACGACCTTGTTCCTGACGCGTCAGAAACCTGCGCCGGGAGTTGGCCCTGAGAAGTGCCAACTCACCGACCGGGCCCCGGGAATGGTTGCTAGATATAGAGGTAGCAACAGAGGGGCAACGAGAATATGAGTGGCTGAAGGGTTAAGAAACTACCACCGCTTTCTACTCAGATCATCTGCTCCAGCCGAAGCTTCCTGCATCCCTGTCCCTGGCCCACTCGCGACTTACGAATAGTTTCTTACTCTCCTAGCAGGATCACTGCTCTCGCGACTCCACTCTGGACGGCCAATGAAGGCAAGCCAGAGGTGGGAGACCTGTTCCTTGTCATTGTTCACTCCAGCCAGCCAATAAAGGCAAGCCGGAGAATAAGGAACGGTGACTTCTCCCTGGAGCACTCGAGATGATGGTAGCCCGCGGGGTCGCTAATGCTCGTCACCTCGCCTCAAGGTGGCCACCTGCGGGCTAATTATCATTATTAATATTAAAATTAAGTACCGATATGACTCACATCAGGAAAAAGATAAGAAAACCTCTAACCTAACGTTCATCGATAGGTACGATAAACTACTTTACATTTAACCTATCTATACTTGATAAGATTATACCAATATATATACACACATATATATATATATAGAGGTATAATATATGTGCAATTAACAAACCAGTACATTATTTAACTTTTAAAGTAAAAGAATACCGTAAAGCAAAATGAATCAATTATTTTTATTGTTTGTGATCGCTGTTTACAGTGAGTATTTATCTTTATTCAGTCTGTGGCAATCTTATACAGATATATATTTAATATACGAACTTATTTCGATGAATATTGTGTATGTTCGTGTAATCTAAACATTAAGCGTTGACATAAACACTGATTTATATTTATGCTAGCGGACTCGACAGACGTCGTCCTGCATATTATTTCGATATTTTAAGATATTAAGTTTTAAATAACTTAGGCATCGACTGCAATCACTACAAGGATCGCCCGGAGGACACGGTGGAGCATACGGTGGCGGTGTGTCCTGCGTGGACTGAGCACCGCCGTGTCCTCAAGAATGTGATCGGCGACGTGTGGTTCAGACCATGGTACGGAGCGAGGGGGACTGGGATGCCGTCTCCTCCTTCTGCGAAGCAGTCATGCTAGCTAAGGAGGAGACGGAGCGCGTGAGGGAACGAACCTCCTCACGACCCGGCCGTCGCGAGAGACACTCCGGGCGTCGGGGATCGCGAGACGATCTCCGGCCACCGTAAGCACGGGCCTGCGGACGGCGAGCACGGGTGACTCGCCGCCCGACCAGAACCAAGGCCGAGCGTACGGCGCGTCGCGTGCCACGCGCGCCTCAGAGAGCCATCAGACCACCACAGATGGGGCCTAACAGGGCTGATGCCGATACGGAGCCGCGGAAGACTTAACGGGTTGCCGGGGCTCCGGCTCGAAGTGCAGGAGTAGGAACGGGGTGGTTTTTAGTCAGTAAGAGTCTGACACTCCCTTCCGCCTCACCCGGGCGGGAGAAGTCATTGGATGATTTCCTCCCTCAAAAAAAAAAGGCAGCGACTGCAGCGCCATCTGCCGGGCTGATTTGTGAATCTAAAATATATCCAGAATAAATATAATAAATCTAATCGAGGGCGCCACTCAAAGGCATACAGAAAAATTCATTGAAATCGGTCAAGCCGTTTAGAAAAAGTTATGACCAAATCAAGGACGTTGAAGAATTCCAACATCCTTCTACCGGTCCAAACCATCTTTTCTAAATAATATTTCCAATGTTTTTTTTTATGGCATAAGCCGGTAACCGAGCAGACGGATCACCTGATGGTAAGCAATCGGCGTGGCCCATGGATACCTGGAAAACCAGAGGCGTTACAAGTGCGTTTACACACTACGAACCACAACGCAATCGTTGCTACACGTCCGTTTTTTGTGAGGCCGTGGTATCACTCGAAAATTTGTTTATTGTAATTATATTCTTGACAAATAAAAAAATAATTTGTTTTCCAGGCGTCAATGCATACACACTTGAAGGAGCTAGCAGAATTATAGGAGGATCATACAGAAGTAATATTAATTATGTGGTAAATATATTTTAACAATGGTTTTATAACAATGGTTTTATAACAAAGTTCTAATTCTTGCACTAAATGTATAAATTATTTATCTTATTTTTTTTTAATTACTGTTCTCACTCACGCGAACAATCCACTGGTTGATGAACGCGCTAATCTTAGATGCTGGTTTGATTGGAAAAAAATATTTTTGTGTTGGATAGTTCATACTTTTTGGGGGAAATGTTACATAGGTTATAGAATATCACGCTAAGATGAATAGAAGGAATGAGTAAAACCGCGCTGGAGTAGTGTTTCAATAAATCTAACCAATGATATTGTTTCTAGATATCATTACAAGAGAAACAATCAACACCAACCCACGAAAGAGGTCACAAATGTGGAGGTGTATTAATTACTCGACAGAATGCATTGACATCTGCTTCTTGCGTTTTCAATAACAGTGGGTAAGTATTATTTTAGCTACTGCAGAAATCTTTAGTTTTTATTTTGCTGCAGGAATGAATTTGCAGCATACGTTATGCAGCACCCCATCCCCCGCCCTTCCATTCGAAAATTAATGCACCTGTAGCAGGGGCGCGAGGTAGGTGTTTCATTAAATGAGTGCGTCACACGGTGAATCACAATGTAACCGTTGCTTTATGCCGGTTTTCTGTGAGGTCGTGACGATGAGAACGTGCAAGAGGGTTGGAGCAGGTTGTATCCCACAACAAAGACTTTCCAAACTATGAGGATATAATACGCATTCCGTGGGGTCTCTCACCAACGTCAAAGTGAAAGAAGGAAAATGTTTTAAATGATTCGTCTGAGTAACGAATGAACATTGATACTTCTTAAGACATTGTTTTTCTCCGGAAACTTTTCTTCGGTAATTAAAAGAAATATTATGACTGTTACAGACTGCTGATCAACGCAAACAACTTCAGAGTATTCGCTGGGACAGTTCTTACAAATGATAATGCAGATAACGTTCGCGACATAGCAAGTATAACTGTCCACCCGGCATATAACAGGCAGACTTTTGTCAACGACATTGCTGTTATTACTGTAAGAAATTATTTTATAATCCTTGTTTTAAAAGTTGTGTTCAAAAATATATAATTACTATGTAACTATAACGTCAATGTCACATTTCAGCTACAAGCTGCTTTCCCGGAAGCAATAAACCCCTTGCCAATGCCGACTGCTGCATTATCTTATCCTGTGACACAGCCATGTGAGTCTTCCGGTTTTGGAGGTCGTAATGCAACAGCCACTGTAAGTTTCATTACAATGTACAGTGCAGATCCTTAAGTTTTAGTCGTCTAATATTACTGGAAAACGTATTGAGTATCTTATCTAAAACAGAAAGTTCTTAAGTATGAGCAAATGAATAGAAATTGAATATATTTACAATAGTATAAAAAAATAAAATTAATGTCTTAATGTATTTCTTTCGCTGTAACATTAAAAGTAAATAGGAATATTTGGACTAACTGTATATTATTATTTTAGGCAAGTGCGCAATTGATAACATTAACACCAATAATTCCGTTTTCAAGTGAAGTCTGCAACCCAATGATACCACAGATGACAGTTGTACCAAGCATGGTTTGTGGGTCTTCGGTTGGTGGTGGATGTGAGGTAAGATGAGTTTTTCTTGACTTATAATAATTATACATGGTCAACAAATTACACAACTATAAAACGATGCGAGAGCTTGAATGTTTGTTTGTTAATCCTTCATGTCAAAACGGTTGAAGGGTTCGAGATGAAATTAGGTACAGGGGTAGATTATGGTCTAACATAACACATAGTTAGTTTTAATGCCACGAAAATGTGGGCAAAGCCGGAAGTGGACGCTAGTAATATAACTGACCTTTATTTACAAGTAATATGCATAACAGAGGCCTTAGTATGAGTTTGTTTCACGTTTAAATTAATCGTAACGAGTAAGCATTCGGCGCTCTGATTGGTTGCTTCATTGGTGCCGGCCAATCAGAGTGCCGAACGCGTACTCGTTTCGAATACTTTAAACGTAAAACACGTACTAAGGCCTCAGGACTGAAAAAAAAAACACTCTGGAATAGCTGGCGATCAATGGCTAACTGCGTCTTTCTATTTGCAGGGTGATATAGGAAACCCATTAGTGTGCAACCCACAGAGCACTCCGGTTCTCGAGGGCTTACTCACTAGAGACAACAACTGTGGGGCTATTGTAGGCGTCCCAGAAGTGTATACTAAAGTCTTCCCATTCGCATCATGGGTGAATCAAGTTGTCACGGGAGCGGCATCCACATCACAACTTGGAACTTCTGTAGCACTCGTGTTTGTAATCATACAATGTTTCAAAATCTTTAACTAAATCAAAGTGTATTACAAATATTTATTTTTTGCTTAATTATTAAATAATATTATTAATAAATGTTTTTTTAACGTAATCTTTTTAAATATCATGTTGGGAATCCTTATAGACCTGTGGGACTCTAACCAGCAAGAAACCGCTGTATCCTGTAACTAACATTTGTTCCCGCCAAGTTAGAGCTGTAATGCTGTGCTCTAATGCTGTAAATGCGTCTTTGATTATATTATCTACATTGTTTATCTAAATTAAATATATACATAACTTAAAGGTTATGTTATTGCTAAAAATCTTAGATGACTGCCACTGGAAGACTTCTCCCTAAAAATCGAATCGCTCGCGTTATTAGTTATAGAGATAATACAAGCGTACGGCGTTAGGTGCCGTCCGGCGTTAAGGGACTTCCCCCTATAACTCGGAAGAAGTCACATTGGTACTTGCCGTTGGTAGGTTTCGAATCCGCACCCTCATGCATGAGAAGTAGGCGTCTTAAGCCTCCGGGCCATGACGATACAATACACGACACACGATAATTAATTTAACATAACCATAAATCTCACTTAGCACCTAATCTGAATCGACTCTGATGACATTTGTTACAGTCGTAGAATACACCTTGGTAGACCCAAAGACCCAAATTCTACTTCTATTCTATTCTACGCGAACAAAGTTGCGGGCAACAGCTAGTTAATAAAGTAATATGTGACTAAAGGCATATTTTGTTAAGTTGGTAACATCAATAACGATCAATAGAAAGTATATTTTTTTAAAGTTTTTATAGTAGGTAGGTATCTATTTAGAATTAACTTGTATAATAGTATTTTAACTCTTGTTTGAATTATAAAAATAATAATGGAAATACATCAATCACACCGCACTGATACCACGCTAAAAGCCATTGCGATAAAGACGTAGGAAACAAACCCGTGTTACATTCTTTGTCCGCCTTCATAATATTTCTAAGTAATAAGAATTTTTAACCGACTTAAAAAGAAGGAGGACTTATATTGTATGTATGTATGTATATTTGTTCGCAATTAACTCGCGATTGGCTGAACCGGTTTTGATGCGGTTTTCAGAAAAGTGTTTGTTACACTTTGGATATTTTTTTATTAGGTATAACAATAATTAACTCTTTGAGTACCGTCATTATAGACACAATTAAAGAATAATAGGTTGCGGTCACCGGTGTCCTCGCTGTGTTTGACAGTTTAAAAAACTTCAACAAAATGGGGTTGAGGTCGGGTTTTTTAAATGCATATTTTATTATATTTTCAATCAAACCGTACCTACTAACAAACATACAATAATCTGGTATTTATACGTGATGTAGAACTTTGCATCCCTTTATCCAAGAATTGGATAAATGTGCAGATCAGGGTGCTTACTCTTGAAACCAATCTCAATGTCAATGCAATTGCAATCTAATGAATCCAATAATTATCAATGTCAAAACTAAACAACCCCTATCGTAGCTGTTAAAATAGCATTCAGAGTACGGAATATAAAGCCAAACTCAGTACCAAGTAGTTAATTTAATATACACGCATTACGGATGCAATGGGCGCTAGTGTCGAACTCGAGAGTGCGAAATTTCACAATACCTACCAATGTCAACCGATAGGAATTGGATTCATAAGTAAGCCCTCAGTTGGCACAGTCAGACTGGCCAAAAACTGATTTCTTTATATTATCTACATGTAAACGAACTAAAATAATGTATCTAAAGATTAGTTATCTTTTCTACAATAGGGTAGATGCCTAATTTTTATTTTAATGACCGTCTGGTAGATTGTTTTAAATCATTCGACAAGTATTTTTTATTTTCTTACAGAAACAAATACTTTCGACGATATATTGATTTGAAATGTCGCGTGACGTCACTTTAATGTTCCTACATTTTATACGTAGAAATGACGTTTTAGCCTCCACTCCTAAACTTTGATTCGCTTTATCTAAGTATTGTTTTATTATACGACATAATAAAAAAATACGTGTCTAATATTTTTTCATTACCTAACTTACGAACTAATTACATTTTTAATTTTCATACCCTGTCATCATCCAAATTTTACTAAAAGTCGTTCTACACTATTGCTAATGATAGACACTTAGGAGCAAAAAACAGAGCCACTAGCGTCTTTTTTATTTTACTGAACCCTCTAAAACTTAAAAAGAAATATTCCTTTTGCAACTATATGCTCTCAATTTAAAGGTAACTAAATTGCCTTTTAAACCACACACGTTACCAATTACATAATAAAATACTTGTATCAAAGAATATGGAGGTATCAAGAAAATGAAAAAGAAAAAAATGCTAGTGGCTACGTTACTTTGCTCCAAGTGTAGATGCAAGGTTTTTTGCAATAGTAATATTGTTTTATAATAGCTATCGTGAGACATACTAATAGGGCTCACAAAACTGCGATGCGACGTTACATCGCAAAGATGTGCGAGCTCCCTATACGCATTGCAAGAACTTGCGAATTGATTTGCATCGTGCATCAAAATCTTATCTTCCCAAAATCTTCTTTGTTCATTTTTCCTGTATCTACTAAGCAATAACAAAAATGCACACTTCTTTTTACGATGCATGTCACGACCTAGTTTTCAATTTAAAATACGTTTAGTATGGTTGACGGTCGTCGAAGGAATGATCACCCTGGGAGACGCCTTGTAACGTTGTACCTTGTTTGCCCTAAAAATAGCCCTAAAAATAGATTTAATTAGGTAGGTAAGTACGATCTTGCAACGTAGGTCGTCCGCGATCGAGTGACACAGCCGTCACCTCTGATGCCTTTAAGTTGACTGTTCGTTTGATTTTACGAATGCGCCCGAGACGAGCCGACACGACTAGTTATTAACTCGTTTAGAGATGCGTAGGCGCAATAGAAGCGAGGACCTTTGCGTAAACAATTAATATTGGGTTCCGTAATGTTTTTATATAAAATTAATTATTTTAATGCGTTTTAAATTAGTAAGTAGTAAGATGTGTTTCTATTTGTTTATTTAGTGTATTTTAATATTAGTTTTAGAACAATCTATTGTAATTATTTATAATTTATATGGTTTCGAAGCTATTTTTAGGGCAAACAAGGTACAACGTTACAGCCTTGTCGCACGAAATCGCATCGCAGCAATTCGTACTTTAATTTTTTTGCGTTGCGAATTCGCATTGCATTGCATCGCAGTCTTGTGTACATACGAGCCCATCGACATAATAAAATCGCGGGTTACTTACGTGAAATTATTGATTAGTTAATTTAGTTACAATAGTAAAATTCTATATGTTCTTGTAATCAGTGCCGGATTAAGGAAGCGCGGGGCCTGTAGCAAATTTTGTCAAGGGGCCCTTGGTTTGCTATCGGTTCTCATTTGGGCATTGACCAAAATTGGTGCCTTTCTTTTTTCTGGCGGCTCGATAATTTATGGAAAATATTGTCTAGAATGACATTACAAACGAAATTGTCTATGGGCTCATGTATGGAAATCTCAGTCTGGACTGAGTTATGAGCGTTGAAAGGAGCTGAAGTCAAACATTTTACTTTGATTTTTTTATTCAAATTATTCATATTTTTGTCACAATTCCCAACTTTAAATTGCGCGCAACTGTACGTCGGGCACTGGAACACCATATCACATCACAATATATTCATATTGCCAGGCACTAATTTTTATTACCTATTTTCTCTCAGTCGATAACTTGTGGGATGCTTCTAGCAGTTGTGTCATGAAGCTTCATGAGCCTCAGCTGTGTTAGCAGTGGTGGATTGAGTGGTGGTAGCCGTGCGAACATCTAATAAAATATATTTTGTTTTGCCATTGACTTCCGGTGGGAGACTCATCTACTTTATAGTTCGCATAATCTTTTGAAGAAAGGAAACCGTCGACTTTGTAAAGTGATCAGTCGAAATATAATCCATCACTTTGTGACTGAATGACAATGTCTTTGTACAGAATCTTATGTTAGCTGTAGATTAGAGTATTAACTGTAGTTAATTTATAATATAGCACTATTTTCACATCTTTGAACTGATTTAACTCGGTTTGGACTGTGTTTTTGAAATAAGACCCCATATATCTTTTTGTTTGTAATGTTATTCTGCATCAGTTTTTACACATCCAATAAACTGCCGCGAAAAATAAAAAGGCACCACGCTCCATACAAATTTGGTCATTGTCATTTAGGGTTTTACATAAAACAAAACTGTTACAAATAAACTATTCTAGATTTGTTATGGGCAAATTTAGATTTTCGATTACACTTTCAATATCGACTTCT